GCTTCTCAGGGTGTCAGTTCACACCAGAAGTGAAGTGTTTAGTCTTGTGGGTGGGGGGTGGGGGGGTTTGTCGATATTGAAAACTGACCAGATTCTCGCCTCCCTAATCTGCTCTGTGCAACTTGAGGCGTCTTCATCAAAAATAGACCCGGCTCCATTTTAAGCAGCACTGAGACCTCAAGTCACTCCTACAATGCTTCTGAATCACACAGCAGCACATCTGGTGGAACTGTAATCATCATTTTGAGTGGGTGCAATTAGCTCCAGAGGCTTCAGAGCCAGAACATGCAGCCATGTTTGGTATATTCACGGGGTTAGCAGGTTTCACCCTCACACTACAGAAATGGTATAAAACTGCAGAGCGAGCCCCACTGGCAGCCACAGAGCAACTGAGGGTAGAAACTGCAATTAAAATAGTTAATCATTTTGAATTTGTTTATTGGGTGAAAGGAATATTCTGCTCACCCCTAAGTTAAATGTCAAAAAACTCCTTTTTTATTGTTAATGATTGATATAAATATGAGGTGTAAACATTTTTTGTTTTTTTTGAGCTGGTCATACCTGAAAAGGTTTCCTTGAGACCAAAGTGATCAGTTGGTATGGAAAATAATGCTCCTGCTTCTTTACCATCAGCAGTTAAAGCTTTAAGCTGTTTAAAACATAAGAAGTTTAAGCTTTAGAAATTCGTTCCTTTAAACACCCGCAGGGAAGGAAACTCGCGACCCCTGCTTGACAATAATCATGATGTCGTCTATGAAGACATCTGGAAACGGTTTGGATTTGATGCCACACATGAACACAAAGTTATGGTGGCTTACCAACTATGCTAAATACTTTGAGGGAACCCCTGAAATGATTTATTGTTTCATCTGCCTGTAAACACAGAGGTTTTTGTCCTCGGTGTTGCTTGCTATGCTCTGCTAAGATCAGCAGAAAATTGGTTAATTGCCTAAAGGTTCAAAGGGCACTGAACATCTCAATAGTGTCACGTTACATGCATGAACTGGGTTTCAACCTTGGTAACTAATATCCAGTGGATCTTGTACAGAGCCCGGTGGTCTTGCTCTGGGTAGCACAAAGCTAAAAATTGGCTCTACAAGGCAGGAAGGGGGACTCTGCTGTTCACTGAGACCCTTTTAAGTCACCTTCCCCTCCACTCGCTCACTGTCGTCACACCTAACCCACATAATTTTTCCTGTGCTTACTGACTTCAAACTGTGAACCAAGACTCGGAGACAGAAGATAAAAATAACACACCACAGTGTACAACTAGCTACTAACGTGTCATGTGAGTGACATGAACCTTCAAATTAAAAGATAAAATTACTGCTTCTATACGTTTCATATAAATTACATATAATTTTAAATGTGTCTTTAATCTTTCATTCATTCTTATAAGTAAAATCTAAATACTGCACGCTGGCAGAGAGCCAATGACCCCAGGCATCCAAGTTTGATCCTCCACAAATCCGTGAACCTCCCTAATCCTGCCCTGCTGAAGAATCGTTGAGCAATGCAGTAATTCCCCACCAACCAAACAGCCACTGGTCCTGACCTCCTTCAGTACGATAACAGAGGAAAGAATGTCTTCATTCTACAATTTAAATCCAGACGTTTATCAGGAGGATACTGCCTGAGTGCACACACCATTATGCAGCAACACCCTGATTTACACGTACCTCCAAACTACTGGAGACCTCAAAACTGCCAAGTGTAACACAAAGTCTTTTGGCCCTTCTGAGAGCGACAATGATTGTGCAGTTACTGAAATATTTGAGTATGTACGACAGTTGTTTTCACAACTTTTTCCCTGCTCATGTTCAGACTGTTAGAAAAGCAGAGGAGCAGCTTAACTGGGTCCGGGGCTGCTTTCACCCTGAACCTTTTTAGTCTTTGTACAAAACGAGCTGCATGTGAGGATGTAGACCAACGGTCTTTCATCTGTCAACGTGAAGTCACAGTCGAGTTAGTTTTGGTCCCATACCTGAATGGCATTATCACCTAAAAATCAACAGTACTTCTGCTAGTAAGAAGCCTTCTGAAGCAGATTTCCTGTTGCGTTAGAAGTGAGAACAGGCAGCTTCGAACCATTTTGTGACAGGTTCCCTTTTAGCGTTGTATGAAGTTCCTGTGTGAAAATAGTTCAAACCTTTATGATAAATATGGCGCTAAATGTAAGGGTCATATTTATTTATTTTTTGTTTTGCCAAACCTGCCACCAGTAGGGAGAGCTGTCAATCAGTTTGTAGTTCTTCAGAACAATTAATCTGACAGAGCCGTTGCCTAGGACAGAGTTTGTGACTGTGGTTGATGCTCCTGAAAAACTATAATAAGAAGCTTTTGTGTTTGTCTTTGTGTCTCAAATCATCTAAACGAGCTTTCTGCACTAACCATTTTGGTCGCTTCTGAAAAGCTAATTGGTCGACATATTGTTCTTATACAAAATCTGTTTGTTTCTTTGTCTGCCAACTATGCTTAAACAATCGTGAGTTGAGCAACCAAACGTGGAGGACAGGTACATCTAAAGATGGAAGCAACATGGAAGAAAAAAGTGAGGAGAAAACATGAATGACATTTGGTGACTTCAAGTGACTATGAGTGAAATAACTGCTGGCAGTTGAAGTGAGGCAGGACTCCAACACGAGAGTACAGGACCAATGAGAGTACAGGAAACTGTTGACTGGCATACAATCTTAGAGAGTTACCAAGGCAACCAGAACCTGGAATGTCAGCAGGTGAGCAGCTGTCAGCTTCACAGCAAAGTGCAACAAGCAAAGTGCTTTCAGCATGAACAAAGTTTATCTCTCCATCAAGTATATTGTGCCATCATGTTGCCTAGCAACCACCAAACAATAGTTAGGTAGGTATAAATGATCAATTATTATCATCTATGCACCTATAACACCTTATAAAAAGTATTGTATAATTTTAAGTTCACAATAACATCTCATTTAGATCCACAAAGACTTATTCGGGCATGTCCTGTTGCTTAGGAACCACCTAGCAATAGGCTAAAATGATCAATTTTTAGTATTTATTTATCTACGACACCTAGCATGATTGGACTGTGTTCCTGCATTCAAGAAATATCTCTAAAATTAGAAACACCCTGTCTCAAAGTGATGCTGAAAAACGTCTATTCTCAACTATAGTAATTCATTAACAGGCTTTCCTAAAACATTCATTACTCTCAGGAAAAAGTTATTTGTTATACCACTTGTTACAATACTTTCATGTTACTCTGTAAAATAGCTGAAACACTCTGTCTCATAATCACCATTTAACATTATACATACTCTTCTCACATGCAAGGTCTTGAAGAATCAGGCCCAATATAATCTTAAAGACCTTATAATACGATATCACCCCAACAGAGCACGTTTCTGGTTCTTAGGGATTAAAAAGTAGAATAGGAGGCAGATCCTTCAGCTTTCAGGCCCCTCTTCTTCTCTTCTTAAATATTTCCTCTTTGATGAAGCATATAGTTGGGGCTGCTGAACTCTCCCTTTTTTTAATACTGCAATAGCTTGCTCATAGGAGCATAGGCATATATCAGCAAAAGAAGAAAGAAAAGGAGTCATGTGTCTATACTTGCACCCTCAGAATAGTTTGCTTGTTCAGTTGTTGAGTGCTTGAAAGCATTGAAGATGAACACTGCGTTCATTTCCACAAGCTTTATCTGACCAAGTGTTTCACTGACGAGAGCTGGTTACAATCCAACTTAAAGCTACAAACCAAAAACCTCATAGTAGGAAGCATTTTACTTACATCTTCTGTGAATCTTTGTGTGCTCCTTGAGGCTGCATTTCTGATTGAACCGCCTCCCACATATCTCGCAGCGGTATGGCTTCTCACCAGTGTGGATCCTTTTATGCCGCTCGAGATGCCCCGCGCGCTCGAAACATTTGCCGCAGTACGGACAGATAAAGCCTTTCTTAAACATCAACCTCTTTACCGTCCTCCTCCGTGCCGTGTTGTACGCATTGCGGTACAGACTATAACCCAGTAACCCACGACCAAAGTGGTTCTGCTGAAATCCACCAGAGCTGCTGCAGGACACGACCAGCCCACTGTCCAAAGACGATTCGGGAAGACACGACAGGGAGTTCTGTCCTAAACGTAAATAATGAGAGCTGTTGTGTCCAGTCTCATTTTGTGTCGTTGATCTCCACTGTCCACTTTCATACAGAGGCAGCTCTTCTCCTGGTTTGTCGGACTGTCTGCTGGCCTGTTGATTTTCCTCCTCCACAGGTTCACATTTGACCTTCACTTCAGGTACAGACAGGGTGGCGGGTCCATCATCAGCATGCACATTTTCAAGAGAGTTCTTCACATCACCAGCACCACCCTGGCTTTCTGCAGAAAGATAAACGTGCATGTTATAACTGAATTAAACCATCACTAACTTAATTCCAAAACAATTAGAAGCCGGAGGAAGTAATTTCCCCAGGATGATGGTGAGATATGTGAAATGACAGAAACAAACCAATAACATACATTAAAGAGTTGTAACTTTAATTCTTCCCCAAGTTGAGAGTCAAGATAGACATTAGTTGAATGCCATTTGTTCATCTGATTTTGTGTTTACACAACTTTTGATCTGCATTTCATGAAGTTTAATGGAGAGGTGCAGCAGTGGCAAAGGAAGTACTTGTTAAACTTTGGTCTGTTATTACGTTCTAAAAGTTTGAAAAACAGGACGAGTATGGACTCTGCACGCACCACTTTAGTTTCACATTATTCAAGTTTTGAAATCAGGTCCTTGGTAAAACTTGCAAAACTCTTACATGGCAATATCTCCAAACACTATGCATGAGTTTAAAACTTTTCACAAGGTGCACAGATTTATTTTGGGCCTCATAAATAGCAGAGCTAAAAGTGTTATGTAACCCGCCTCAACAAACCAGAATTTATTCTTGTGAATGGCGTGTAACTAATGAGATCTTGGTGTAAATGTAAATATGCCCTTTCGGATTTTGTTCAAGAATCTAATCAATCCTCTAATGATCGTGTTTCACTAGCTTGACTGTCACAACAGCCTGACTGAGGCTTAAATTTGGCAGGTACTTACATAGTGCTTTCATACTCTAAACGAGCATTAAACATGCTTTTTACTACAAACCTCATTTAATTCTATTTATGTAGCACCAAATCACAACAACAGTCGCCTCAAGGCGCTTGATATTGTAAGGTAAAGAATCTACAGCAACAGACAGAAAACCCAAACAATGAAATGATCCCCTGTAAGGAAGAATTTCTGGTAGAAACAGGTTCGGTGGGGCGGGGCAGTCTTGCATAACCACACATAGTGAGTGAAAATAGGTGAGTGAAGAACAAATACTCAACTTTGGCCTATTGTAGTATAACTAAGGGAGGATTCGGGGTTAACTGATCCAGCTCTAACTCTACGGTTTACCATAAAGGAAAAGTTGAAATGTAATCTTAAAAATAAGAGCTGGTTCAACAGAGGATGCTTCCCATTTTACTTTTAAACATCCTAGGAATCACAAGTCAGCCAGGAATCCGAGAGACGATTGCTCTATTGGGGTCTTTAAGATAAGACAGGGCCTGATTATTCAGACAACCCCTGCTGGTCCTGGCAGATGTCTGACCTTCCCTGAGGACATTCTGCTGGAGGTTTTTTCCTCTTTAAAAGGGAGTTTTTCCTTTCCACTGTCGCCAAGTGCTCGCTCAAAGCGGGTTGTTTGATTAGTGTCTTTATCTTACAATATAAAGCACCTTTGACTGTTGTTGTGTTTTGCACTATATAAATCAAATTGAACTGAACCGATGTTGTATGTGAGGAGAAGGATTGTGAAATTAGATTCAGGATTTAACAGGAAGCCAAAGAGAGGCCAGTGTGAGAGGAACACGCTCTCTTTTTCTAGTCCCTGTCAGTACTCTCACTGCAGCCTTTTGGATTAACTGAGTTTTTAGGACAGCCTGATAATAATGAATTACAATAGCCCAGCCTAGAAGTAATAAATGCATGAACTAGTTTTTCAGCATCACTCTGAGACTGGATGTTTCTAATTTTAGAGATACTGCGCAAATGCAAGACAGCAGGCCTACATATTTGTTTAATATTGCCCATTGACTCAGAGCTTTCAAACCATCTCTCACTCATTGATTCATGGATTTATTGGAGGAGCCAAGGATTCAACCACCCACCCTGCAATTAGCGGACGACCTGCTTTATCTCCTATGGCACAAATCCACGAGCTGTACAGCTCACTAAATATGTGAATATTAGTAATATGTGAAAAAACACCACTATCTCGACTTCTTGTACATTTTGGAAAGCTACAGTGCTTAATACATTTTTAGACGACCATCCAATATAAGATTTATGCCACAGCTGCCCTAAATTAACAGTACTTACTAAAATCAATCTTTATGATTCTGTAATATCCACAAGCCCTTTTATTGAAGTGATACTTTTAATATAACTATTGTTGACATCCAATAACTTTTAAATTTGGTTTTACAAAAAAGCAGACAAAACTATTACTTTTTTAAAGTAAGATGACAAATTACTGTTATTTACTTGCATTCACAAACAAAATATAATATTAATTTTACTGGTTAACTGTTTGATTAATTTCTGACTTCTCAAAGGAGTCCAGTGTGCCAGCTCCAGTGTGAGTAATCAAATGTAAATTCAGTCATTTTTTTGTTTTAAACATGTTTTTGACAGATTTCTAAAATATGTTCTTTCTTGTTTTTAATAGCAGTTAAGCAATAAATACGGTAAGCACAACTGGTGCACTGAACTCATGCCCGTGTAAGTAATACTGTTTATTCTGACCTATGTGAGCAGGCGGGAGACTCATGAAACAAACCAAATATTTGTACCAAATGTTCTTCAAAATGAAACGAATCACTCAAAGATCTACAACAAAGTGAGAAAATAGATTTGTGTATTTCATATCTGTCCCCAGAAAAGGTCCACATGGCATCTGGACAAAAAACTATTTCTAAGTAACTTCTGCTGATATCTTATCGCAAAGAAGAGAAACAATTTTGTAATGCTTACATTCTTTTCTTTACACTATATAACTGCAAACATGCCAGCTCATTAAAAAGACCTATTTTGGTCCTCTTGTCCTGCAGCCAAAAGATAAATGATCCAAAATAACCACTGGAACGATTTCCCATATTATTGCAGAGCAAATAAAAGCCAAAGCCTTGTGCTGGGGGATTTTTCACAACGTGGCAACACAAACATTTCTTCTTAAATTATTTTTTTCTCTAGGATTTAATAAAGTATTTCTCTATCTCTACACAACCCCTTTATAAAAGTTTGAAAACTGAGATTTGTGCATTTTCGTCCCTGACAAACCTTGCATCAGTGTACCAGTAAGTTGGCACCCCTCAGCAAAGAGGTGCCAGGTTAGCACGGCAGCTACAGGGTGTTGAGGTGTGGTTTAGCTCGGGTCCAGCTCACCATCTCTCCCGTGGTGGTCGGGTCTCAGGGTCACCGCCTGCTGGGTTACTCTCAGCTCGCCGTGCAGGAGCTCGATGTTGCTCTTCAGCTTCTTGATCTCGTTTTCACGCTGGCACATTTCCAGCCGCAGCACCACCATGCCATCCTCCACAACTTTGGCAATTTCTGCCACGGCTGCTTTGGACAAGGCATCAATCACGGAGGCGATCTGGGAGCGCAGAGCAACGCTGCTCAACATTATCGTGAACCGACCAAGGAGTGAAGGAGGGCTGAACTTTAAAGCCAGAGAAGCGGCTCGGTGGGTCCCACGTCAGGGAGGTGAGTTAACAGCTGAGTCTAAGCGAAGCAGGCCGATGCGGGAGCCGCTGGCTCTTCCCAGCCTGCAGGCATTTGGTTAGCCTGATGTTGGTTTTTAATGAGTACAAAGAGATAAACACTTTCTCGTTTTACGGAAGTGATGACACACATACCGTAAAAACGCGGAGAAGAGCGCAACGCATATTGTCACCGCACTTCTGGGGCTGCTGGACCTTTTTTTGTTAAACCAAAAACATAAAGTCTTCAAAAGACTAAAGTAGGAAGTTTACGAGAATCTAGAGAAAACATGCTATTTTCAGGTTTTATCTTGAAGGGACCATATCGCTTTACTCTTCAAGCATTTACTCATGAGAAGTTTCCAATGTTTCCAATCACATCAATACAACACACACACAGCAGCTGTGGGAGGAGATTGCGGGGACCGTCTATAAAGTGCAACACGACAAAAGAAATCATGCACTTTCATAACATTTGAATCTGGATTAATTACAGTATGTTCATCTAAAAGTGTTGTAACCAGAGTTAGGGATTATTTTAAATTCCCTTCAGTTTTATGCACCAACACAATGGAGAGCTGCTAAGTTTTAGGAACACCTGAGAGTAAAATTTATATGTGCAGGACGTGTACATATTCAGTTGAAGATTTTTACATTTTTGTTTCGAGTGACCAGAATGGAGACGATTAGAAATGAATATATCAGAGAGACAGCTCAGGTTGGAGACAGAAAGGCAAAGTGACGTCTTCATTCTCTGCTGACCGCAGGTTTCCCTAACTTTATAAATAGTATATTTGCATGACTGAATCTAGCACCACTGACTAACAATGGGCCGTGAGATCGACGAAAATATCAGTAGATGAGCAGTTTCTGAACTACTTAGATTAGCCTATCTAACACCAACAACCATGCTGCGTTCAAAGTCTCTTAAATCACATTTCTTCCCCATGCTGATGCTTGATTTGAACCGATCCTGCTGACCATGTCTAAAGGCCTAAATGGATTGAGCTACTGTCATCTGATTAGATATTTGAGCAGTTATACAGATGTATCTAACCATTTGAAACCCAGAGTTGAAGCTTTAAATGAAAAATGCACTTTCAATTAAAAAAATGCAATTAATTCATTGTTGTGTTGTCTGCACTTTATTAAACTGTTAGAAAAAACCCCCACAAAACACAATAAATATACACACACACACAATCATAATTCCTTGCGCACTTAAAAGTTTTTACTTTTTAATTAAATGTGTGTAATTAAGATCTGACAAGTAATCTTCAGTCACATACAGTTTGTCCTGCTAATAACTACATCACAAGGGCAAATATTAGAAAAGGACCAACCATTTAATTTCTTCAGACATGTTTCAACAACAGATACCAGTATATTTTCAAGGCACTTTAATACTTCTGAGTACAGAAGTATGACAAAGTTACAAACACACCAATCACAGTTTTCTTTGAGTATTTTTACAGTCATTGGAGAATTAAAAATTAAGAAGAAACAAGGTAGCTAAAACTTCCCAAACACAGAAATGTCTACTAAACAGTAACACACAAATGGCTTATGGAAAAACAATGTTTCCACATCTGTGAATTTGAAAGGGACCTGCAGGGTATCATCAGGCATCCATGTGCCCTGCAACTACAGTGCAATGTCCTCCCTGCACGTGGACTTAAAAGTAGTATAAAACAACGACACACCCCCCAGTGACCACAGCTGTCCATGTGCACATCCACGTGGGAGCATAATCAGCATCACGGTTAACATCAATAAACAGACCATGTCTTACTAATCTTTTCAGTTCAATGTGCCATCTAAAGAGTGCTGGTTCATATAAGTTGTTGGAGTTAACCACAGAAGCCGTTCTCAGAGAAATGAGTGCAGACACCCTCCAGGAAGCGTCTGACGCGACAGGAACATCTACACTACACAGTCTGCTGGTGGTATGTTTGGGGAAACTGAAAACAAAGACCAAATATATTCCTCTGAGCCCTTCACACGTCACTACGCTCTTGCAGTTTCAATGCCTGAGAGAATTTTTTGCTACTCAGACTGCATTTAAAGGCCATCTAATATTTATATGAGAACACGGAAAAAGAAAATCTTCCCCACCTCTCTAGTAGTTCCTACTCGCAGCATGAGAATCAATCAATAGTTGACATTTATGGAAGTTCAACTGTTAACTCTTGGATCAACACCAGAATGCCTTTATTTATCAGTTAGTGGTTATTTTTCTTTCTGTTTTATTTATTTTTTTCTGTCTGTGTAGGTTGTGGTCAAAAAAGGTTAAACTTTCATAAAATGTCTTTAATCTTTAAAACTTTCTAAATATCTAATTATACCTCTGACCTCACTTTTACATTTCACATCTACATCACATATGGTCGTGAAAAAGAGAATGAGCTGCCTAGTCAGAAAAATTAGATAATAAACTCAAATTATTCATGTCCAGTTATTTACAAATCAATACCTATTATCTGTTATATAATATTACCCACTACTATATGCTTTTTTTTTTTCAAAAACACAATAATATTCCCTTAAAAGTAAATAATATCCAGTGCTTCTTTTTTTAGGTTAATTGTGATCATGCCATTAGGAAAAAAAGACATAGAAACTTTTTTCAAAAATAATAGTTACAATGTTTAGATTTCCCAGGAGATGAAATTTGTCACATTAATGGGACAAAATGTCAAATTATATTAGTTTAATTATGTGTAATATCTCACAAAGAGGTGTGCGTCCAATGGAAAAGCAAGACAAAGCAAACGATAAATGTAATGACTCTCATGCATCTGCCCCCCTGTAATGCAAATCAGAGGGCTTTTTATGTTTCTGTTCATTCACTCCAATAAAACTGTCAAAGCACACTCGTAAAATAAAAGGTTCATGCAAATGTTCAAACTACCGCAGTCCATCTCTGAGAGCTGCAGTATCTGATCGCTATCTTCCTTGCAGGTGGATCTCTTCATGTATTTTGAGGTTACCAAGCACCGTGAAGCTTTTACCGCACTGCCTGCAGCTGTACGGCTCCAGCCCGCTGTGGAACCGCTCGTGTCTGAGGCAGTTGTCCTGCCTCGAAAACATCTTACCGCAGATTTTGCAACTAAACGGCCTCTCCCCGGTGTGCACGCTTTGGTGCGTCCTCAGCCGGGTCTTCTGGGTGAAAGATTTCCCACACTCGAGGCACCTGAAGCGTTTGGAGGGTTGGTGGGTGGCTACGTGTTTCTCCAATTGAAACAGGCACGAGAAACTCTTGTTGCACAAAGAGCAGACGTAGACTTTCTGATTAGGTGTGCACACCTTCATCACCCTTTTGGCTTTAAAGACATCTCTACTCTGGTTAGGAGCGTCAGCATTTGAACTTGCTGAGATTGCTGCGGCTGTTTCCACGTGAGGCAGAGGGAGTAACGGCTCAGCTCGCAAGCAGTCACCCTGACTGCCTGCAGGGGGTGAAATACATCTGAACTCTTTATTATGAACAGACTCTAAAGCGATGCCTCCCATACACGCGGGGTGCGTCTCTACCTCCACTCTCACTGGCGCGCCTGCAGTTTCCTCTGTGGTAGACAGTAAAGAATTATAGGAACTTTCTGTGTTGCTCTGAGGAGAATACTGATCAGCGTCAGAGGGGAGGATCTCCATGTGCTGCTGCAACGCCACAGGGTTACTCTCAAACATGCTACAAGCAGGCCACATCAAGTCATCCTGCTCTGCCTTGAAGCAAACACCTGTTCTCGTCGTGTTGTCTTCTGTTTCGATGTTAGCAGGTTCATCCTCTGGCTCGTGCTTCACCACTGGCCAGATGTTTTGGCTCTCCTCTGTCACATTTTGGGCAGTTTTTGGTTGAAGAGACACTGCAACCATGTCCTGAGCTTCCTTTTTGTCTGCATTCAAAAGAATGACAACAGTGTTAACACTCGATTTCAATTCTCAACCAACAAATGCAAGTCAACAGAGCATCTAACCAGTTTCACCAGTATAAGTGTTTTAGTGCTGTCCTTACTTGTTTACTGGAAACGGTTAGACATGTCAGTCACAAAGGGACGCTTCCTGATAAACTCTTGTTTTACAAAGTTTAGAAAGTCACTGATATACTGCAATAAACTGTTTTTATCTTCATAAGTTCTTGAGAGTTTTATCTGACTGATATATTATTAAAAAAGATTCAGTCAGTTTAATCTGAAAATGAAATGAATGTCAAAAAAAATGAATTTCTTTGATTCATCGAATTGGACCAAGACATAATAAAAAATATCCCAGCAGTTAGAAAGACAGTGTTATAAATTTATATTTAACTATCTTTATAAATGAACTACAAAGACTAAAATAAATTGTTGGTAAAGGATTCAGTCACCTATAACCTATACCTGTATATACAAACTTCGGTTGTTTATGTTTATAGGATCACCCTGTGTCTTCCTTTTATATTTTATTTTCCCTTGCTGTAAGAGCTCTGTAACACCGAAATTTCCCATCGGTGGGATAATAAAGATTTATTCTATTCTAATACACTCTTGAGATTCCTTCACAGGCACCTTAACCTCATTTCAGATGACCTCAGTGGGTCAGACGATAGGGTTAGGCAAGGTCTCAACGTGGTTTCACCTAAAACATCTGGAGGTAATGACCTTGGCTCATGTCATGAGGAAGTGAAGAAGCCTCTTGGATGAGGGGTGAAAGGTCTAAATGAAACAAAAAGAAATGGAGTGTGGGGCCTCCCTGCTGCTGCGGAGTCGGGGCGGTCTGCTTTTCTCCACCCCAGGGAAGAGGGTAACACCATGTAAGGAAGAG